GTCTTGTGTCGTAGAAGGTATTGATGAGATGAACGTCTTTTTCATAATCTGGGGATAATAATGTGTTGCTAGATACCGCTTATTATCTATGGTATTAATTTATATTAATATCATTGCCAGTGTTATGGATACCTAAAGGGTCACACACTTAGGACTTGTAAGGGAGTAGTATACTACACTAGTGGGAGTAATATTAAATATATAGTTGTGATAATTTTATATATATATGTATTTTGAAAATACATATGTATTTTAAAATTATATTTTGTTTGTGTCATTTTAATTATATGATAATTATATTTTGACAAAACAAATTTTATTATATATATATGTAGCGCCGAATGTGTGTATATATATATATATATTATTTTATTTTTCATCATTTTAATTATATGATAATTATTGATGCAAAAAATAAAATGTAATGTATTTTAATATAATATGGCCGAAATTCTAAGGGGAAAAATACAAAACATATTTTGATATTCCACCTAATGATATATTTGATTTTATAATCAAATATTTGATTAACAAAAGTATACTTGTCTTGTTGTGTTGCTATTCAAAAATCTGCTCGGTTATTTCCACTGTCTCTCGAGTCCTCCGAGTCATCTAGTCTCAAGTAAGTTCTCTTTCTCCCTCCTTGCTTCTTTGAGTCATGTCTGACCACGAGGATAGCCAGAACCCTTCTGTCCATTCTTATGGTTCTGGTACCCGGTCTCAGACCTCCGGTTCCCAGTCCTCTTCTTCTTCTGAGCGCCCGGCTACTTCTCCACAGAAGAAGCCGGTTGATGCTTCCACTTGTGCCCCTTCTTCTTCCGCGGCACAAGTGGTCTCGGTTGCTCGGTCCGTGGATGACGACTTTATTTCGCTGGATGATCGGTTGCTCTTGGAGCAACCATTGTACATGTAGAAGGCTCAAATCCACGAGCTGCGCAACCTGATGCCCGATGGTTATCAAATGTCCTACCGGGCAATGTGGAAGAATATCATTTCTCTCCACGCCAGTACGACGATTGGAATTCACTACCATTCCATCAAGGACTTGGGTGAATTCTCTATTCATCCTTTCAAGGTCCTTTTCTTTGAGACATACGGGATCATGCCCGGGTAGTTAGCCCCTAATGGTCACCGTATGCTCAGTAGCTTTATCTGTTAGAAAGCATTTTGACATTGATGTTTTGTTAATGATAATGCTTGTTTCTATTTAGGTTTTGATATTGACAAACCGTCGGGAACTTGGGACAAAATAAAAAGATTCAAAGTCATCGAACAATCTCTTTGAAGGAACAAAAAGCACAAGAAAGGCATTGACGTTTCTAAAGACGATGACAATGGCGTTTTGAAGGCGTTGTCTAAATACTTAGGTTTTTATTGTAACAAGCTCATTCAATTCCTCTACGTCATAGCTCAAAACAAAATATGTTTTTCATGGATCAAATGGGTGTTTTCATAAATGGCTTTAAGTTTCTAAAACCCCCGGTTCTTGCCCAACCCAAAGCCTAGACAAATGGTTTTTGGTTTTCGGCTATGGCGTTCGGTTTTCGGCATTGGTCATTTGAATTAAGTCTAGACAAATGGTTTTTGGTTTTTTATCTTTGGTTTTTGCTTCTAGACACATTTAAAGGTTTTCCAAATCATTAGTTTTCAAAAACCATAACCTTTGTTGTTAGAATAAGTGCCCTTCACTAGAGGGGGGAGGGGTGAATAGTGAGGCACGAGAATGTTTATAAATTTTTGCAGAATAAAAATTGTAGGGATAAAGTAAAGAGCGGAATAAAAAAGCGTAAGGGAAGAACACACCAAATTTACCCTGGTTCACCACAACTTGTGGCTAATCCAACCTCCCGAGAGACTCTCTCGAGCTACACTACTTCCGTTAAGCTTACGGGTGCTTAACAAACTGTTACAACCTGAGAACTCGAGTCCCATGAGCCTCAACAACACTTGCTCGGAGATACCGCACTCCAAGACTTTAACCCGAAGGAAAGTACCTTTCCTTCGCACAACCAAGGGAAACAAACTTCCCTTAATGTCTATAAAACTAAGAACACTCAAGAACAAGGCTCTCTCAAAAGAGTGAATAATGAGTAACTAAGAACGCTCAAAAACACAACACAAGCTTTACAAAAATGGCTCTCAAAAAACTATGAATAAAGGATGAATGATTTGTAATGAAGGAGTAGAGATTGTGAAGTAATGTGATGTATAAAACAGACCCAAACACCCCATTTCATAGTGGAAAAATAGGCTCCAAGGGATCAAAACATTTAAGGGGTGATTGGCACAATTTGTGGGATTTGATTAAATTTGGATCTGCTGAAATTCACCTAGACAGCACTGTCCTAGGCTTGCATTTTGAAAATTGGGAAGCAATGGTCATGCCAACAGCGATGTCCAATACTCCTACATCGCTGTTTTGGCTGTTGACTTCCAAACAAGGAAAGTTTTAGCCTTAAATCTCTTCCAACGGTCAGGTCCCTACATCGATGTTCAATACTTGAACATCGCTGTTTAGGTCTGACTTTGAAGGTGGAGTTTTGGCCTGACAGCGTTGTAGCTGGGTCAACATCGCTGTCCAAAAACTTTCTGCCAATGCATTATATTTTTGGCTTAGGTTGGACAGCGCTGTAGGGAAGACTTAACGCCAAACCCAACATCGCTATTCCAAAAGTTTCTGGAAACCCAACCTTGGCTCAACAGCGATGTCTAATATGCAACATCGTTGTTGGAAGACTTAACGCCAAACCATGGTTTTCAGCTACTCAAGCCAGACAGCGTTGTTGGTTGCACCAACATCGCTGTTGGGCTGGTTTAGCCAGACCCATGGTTGGTTTAGTCATGTCGTTAGCCGATGTCAAAAACGTAAGTTCTCCAAAATAAAAACCAAGTGTTGAAAACATTTGTTTATTGCATTTTGCTAAGAATTCAAGTAAAACAACTCAAAAACCACGTCATTTAGTTGAAAACCACGGCTAACCAAGTTTGTGTCGTTTCGCATGGTTTTCACTAAACGACCAAAAACGGAAGGTGGTTTTTGAAGCGTTTTTGTTGTAGAAATGTTTAAATGTTCCCAGAAGTAAAAACCAATCATAAAAAAATGAAAACCACTTGGTTGGTTCGGATGCCAAAAACCAATGCCGAAAACCGAAAGCCGAACGCCGGTTTCTGGAAGCCGAACGCCGGATGACTTGGTTTTTGGTTTGGGCGAACTCCAAGTGTTTTTAGCCATGTTTAAAAACTTATGAAAAACATTTTTGAATTTGCAAAAAGGGTTTTGATGAATTGAGCCTAGAGAGCCAAGATTTGGAAGTTTGTGCCGGTCTTGATCACATTAGGACCGACTCAATGCAATTCTAATTCTTTGTTCTTGATTCTTGGTTCTTGGTTCTCATGTCATCATGCCATGTTTCTTCGCCTTGGTTTTGCTCACTTTAGCCTTGTTGTGTCACAGCGGTTTGGCATTATCAAAACTTGTCATAAAAACGAACACAGTTTAGTACAACGTAGGCGTAAACCCGTGTTCCAACAATTTCTCCCTTTTTGATAATGGCAAACAAGACGGGGATATGCATACTAAGGGATATTTGATTTTCAAAAAGTTGTGAAAAAGTTCCCCCTTAATTTGTGCTTAAAAGAAATTAGTCGGATTAAAATCAAACGGTCTCGTTTTTAGAGGCGTTCCCCCTTAGTATATGCATAGCCCTTTTCTTCCCCTTTTGACATTAACAAAAAGATAAAAGATAATTTTATTTATTCATGGGAAAAGGCGGAGTACAACGGAAGTAATAGTAAAAAAAAGCAAGACAATTGAAGAAAGAAGAGATAAACATTCTAGATGTGGCCTAGTCTTCGTCTTCGGTTTCCTCCTCCTCGTCGTCGACGTCCATCTTATCGCCGTCAGCGGCGTCATCGAACTTGTCCTTGTCCGGGGAGTTTGACGGGGCGTAGGAGCCATCCTCTTCGTCCTCGTCACCGTACACTTGCCCAAGGAACGTGCCTTGGTACGGTGGGGGGACGTAGTTGATGCGTTCATGCGTTCAAGGTAGCCATCCATCCCGTCAACTTTGAAGTGAAGCTGGTTGAGGGAGTCGGCGATGGAGGCAAGGTTGTCCCGGGCCTGGGGTTCGGCTGGGCCAGCAGCCGAACGGCGCCGTGGCGCGGCAGGGGCAGGTCCGGCGTTGTCCGACCGCTTCTTGAAGGTTTGGGTGCTGATCGCCCAAATCTTCGTGGCCTTCGTGAGTGGGCCAACGGTGGTGGTCACCTTGAACCGTTCAAGGATGTCCATCACCACGAACGGGTATGGGAGGAGGTGATCGTGGTCGGTGGACGCGGCAATCGTCATGTTGATCATGACAAACTTCGCCCAATTGATTGGCGCCGAGTGCATGATCGCATGGAGGAGCTTGAGGCCCTCACCGGACATGATCATGTGCCCATGCTTCCGGGGCTTGATGATTCGGGACACGATGTAGAGAAGAAGCCGGCTCTTGGGGTTTGTAGAGTGGATGGTGGGGCGGCCCGAGGCATGGCGGATGAGCTCGGTGATGCCAAGCTCGCTGAGGATAAGGCCCTCGTTGTTGAGCACCTAGTCCTCTCCGCCATAGTGGGAGACGTCGTCACCTTGGTAGGGGAGGTCGGTGATGCGCCCAAGCTGCTCAACGGAAAGCTCTATTGGCGTGCTTTTAACAAGAGAGTAGAGCACGTCGCCCTCACGCTGGAGGTTGGAGTAGAAGACCTGAATCAGCGCTGGGTTGATCTTCTTCCGAGCCTGGGAGACGAACGGCCAAAGGCCGGCTTGGTAAAGCTGCGCGTCTAGATCATCGTAGCCCTGCAACTCCGGGAAGCGCTCCGGGACGATCCGTGGGGGAGCCACAACCCGTTTAGAGAAGAAGGTGAGAAAGCGGGTGCGCTCCTCCTCGGAATCGAACCAGAGGTACGACCCATCGCCATAGTAGAGGCATTCCTCGGAGGATGTCATAGGCGCCCGGGATTTGGACTTTGATTTCCTGGAGGTGGCAGCCCTGCTCTTGTCCTTGCCCATGATGAAAAAAAAATTCAAAAGAGAAAAGTAGAGATGATTAAATAAGCAAAGATATTGAAGAGAATTGTGTTTGTGTGTGTAAACGTGAAGAGAGGGGGTCCCAATTTATAGAAAAAGAGGTCTCCAACGTCCAGGTTTTCAAAAATATGGTTGTTGGAGCAATTAATGCTCGTGCCAACGGGTATATATTTTTTTTTGAAAATTTTGACTGAACAGCGATGTTCTACAGGCGACATCGCTGTTGGGACAGCGCTGTTGTGCCTTGTACAGCGCTGTTTTACGTCAAGTTAAAAAAAACAGGAGTCAATTGGACAGCGATGTTTGGTACCCTACAGCGATGTTTCAAAAGTTTCTGGAATTGTGCAACGGTTTGAACCCATTAGAACAGCGCTGTTGGGTTTCCTTACATCGCTGTTATACGATAAAAAAATTTGTAAAACAAATGGACATCGCTGTTTCAATGGTGGACAGCGCTGTTGGAAAACTTTCTGTTTTTGTTTGAAAAACAAGGTGTTTTGGAAAACAGCTATGTTTAAAAAGGGGCATCGATGTTCAAAAAGTTTCTGGAAAGCAAAGGTAAAAGGGACTCCCTGTAACAGCGATGTTGGCCTATAGTACAGCGCTGTTGGCAAACTTTCTGGTTGACGGTGTTTCTCTCAACAGCGCTGTTGGGTCTCCTGGACAGCGCTGTTTGCATGGTTCCCCCTGATTTCATGAACGGGGTACCTGCAAAGTAACACTTTGGTACCCAAAATATTTTTATGGGTCCTTGGAGGTTAATTTGTTTTTTTTATTATCCACACACACCGAAAGTTTATTTCCACACACAATTTCACACACTCGGTTTGATGATAATTTAGGGGTTACCTTGGCCAACCCGCCGTCCCGTGGTTGGCGGGTTCCAGTCTACCTGAACGGAATGCCGATTTCTCGGTGTGATTTGTGTCGGTTCCGGTAACAGAATGTGGACATTCTTCTTTTCGTCAAAGTAGAAGAAATAGTAAGGTTTCTTATTAGCCTGTGGAGATTGTTTATGATAAGAATATCCTTTTCTAAAGGATTTCTTTTCGTTAGCACCAAATATGTTGTGTGTTTCATTATAAGTGAGATGTCTATGTCTAGTAAAACACACGGGAGCTATATGTTGTTGTATTTAGGTGCCCTAGCGGCAATTAAATACCTATGTAACTGTACAATTTATCATGAATGAGAGGCCTTGAAGTATGTTTTATATCTCGTGTAACATAACATAGCTTCAGTCCATAGACGATAGCGCTTCAGTAACATAGATGAGGGCTACGATGTTCTGATTATGAGACTGTTACTTCTTGACGAAGGCTATGTCTAGAATATCCCTAGTCGCACTTTATGATAATACGGACGTCATAACGTATCAAGACTAGTACGTACGAGATGAGATAGTTGTGTCTCATAGACTATAGGTATTGTGATATCTTAATCTGTACGTAGGTGCATATTATATCGATAATATGTGACTGGATTGACCCATCTTGAGAATACTGCATGGATCTACAGTAATGTGTTTATCAGTATTCTCAAATCGACCTTCCTATAACTATCCTCAGACTTGAAGTTATTACATTCTCTGATATGTGGGGCCGTATGCTTTGATTCATAACTAATGCTATCTGAAATACTGGTAGACGTACAGTTATGCGTTGGGTATGCCGCTAAGCATATTTAGAGATGTGAATAACAGATACAGATTCTGTCCCTTCTACTGTATAGAAGTATAATGTCAATGGGCCCACTGAATAGTAGGACTTGGGAGAGTGCATGGCCATGCCCAGATATGTCGCTATCTAGAGACTGATAAATATCTGATCCCTGCCAGTCTACTTGAGATTCAGTAACAGCTGATTTAACTATACAAGGATACACATCCCATGCCTTGTGTTAAATCATGACATTTAGGACAGAAGGATAATAGTTATAGAATGTCTTGTGTCGTGGAAGGTATTGATGAGATGAACGTCTTTTTCATAATCTGGGGGTAATAATGTGTTGCTAGATACCGCTTATTATCTATGCTATTAATTTTATTAATATCATTGCCAGTGTTATGGATACCTAAAGGGTCACACACTTAGGACTTGTAAGGGAGTAGTATACTACACTAGTGGGAGTAATATTAAATATATAGTTGTGATAATTATATATATATATATATGTATTTTGAAAATACATATGTATTTTAAAATTATATTTTGTTTGTGTCATTTTAATTATATGATAATTATATTTTGACAAAACAAATTTTATTATATATATATATGTAGCGCCGATATATATATATATATATATATATATATATATATATATATATATATATATATTAATTTTATTTTCATTATTTTAATTATATGATAATTATTGATGTAAAAATAAAATGTAATGTATTTTAATATGCTATGGCCGAAATTCTAAGGGGAAAAATACAAAACATATTTTGATATTCCACCTAATGATATATTTGATTTTGTGTTCCAAGTTATTTTTCTAAAGTGTTAGAAATATACACAAAATATTATAAAGAAATATTTATAAAATAAATATTTTTACTATATATTTATTACTCCCAAAGTAGTATTATTATAGTTTTTACTATCCTAAATTAAACTTGCTAGCACAAGTTTAATCTAGGACTTCGGAGCAAGTTCGTGTGGATACGTTGGAGGCTTCATACGTTTGGCGCTACGTTCATCTCCTCAAAACCATCCCAGACAATTCCTCCGTTCTACGTTTTCACCGTTAAGGTAAATTGCTTACTGTGGCTACTAATTTACGTAAGTTGTTCTTGGGTGGAATCGAGTTTTGGACTATAAATTTTTGTTTTCCGCTGCGTTATCCAAGCCTCGTTTCCCAACAGTGGTATCAGAGCCGGCTTACGAAGTTACTAGTTTAGTAGTTTTTACCGTTATTGTTTTTATAGATTAGTCAATAAATTTTGGAGACAAAAATTTATCCCATTAAAAAATTTAATTAGGTTGCCATATTTAGATACTGGACCTAATATAATTTTGTTCAGTAATTTTCGGAATTACTGTTTGGGGTATTTTTATATTATTCTTATTAAGTAGTTTATGAGTAGAATACTTGTTATTTGTGCCATAAATACTTAATATTTATGAAAATTAGATTTTATATTTTCTGGGAAGTATTTGACATGTCAATATAACTTAGAAATTTTAAAATCGATTTTTGGAATTAATTTCCTATTTTTCTATTTTTAAATGCGTTTATTGATAATAAGTTGCGACCAGAGATTTTAAGCTTGTATAAAAATTTTCATAATTTTTAAACACGTAAAAGTATTTATTTTGTATTTTTGAAGTAATTGGATCGGTACTATTCACTAGTCCGATTTTTAATTATTTTAAATTGCAAAATTAATATTTTAAATTCTATAAAAATCATATTCTGGTTCTGGAACTTATTTTTGACTTGAAAAATAAATTTTTTTATTTTTGGAATTTCGAAATATATTTTCACAATATCATTTCGGTTTTCTTGCTTTGAAAAATGGTTTTCAAAATTTTAAATTTTATTCATTCTGGAATTTTAGGATTTCCAGATTAATAAAGTTTACTGGGAGTCTCCAATAATTGTTTTCTAATTTAGAAAACATATATATATTTAATTCGAAATAAAATCCTTTTTTGAATTTAAATGTATATATACGGTAAATATAAAATATTTTATTTTCTGAAATTTAGAAAAATCAAATTTCTAACATTCTGGAAATTTAAAGTATTTTATGATTTTTAATTAAATTACTTGCTAGTTTAATTAATTTATTGTTGATAGTTTATTCCGTAGAATAGAATAAACTAGGTCTGGGGCGAGCGCGGTTCGCCCGGTGTATGCTTTAATATGTATGATGTGATGCATGTGATGCTTGTATGTATTATTGCATGGTGGATGATTGTGGCTTAGTTATATTTGTTGTAATTTTAAATACGGCCTGCGTGTCGTGCCTCATCTCTATACTCTGGATGTAATTCTCTTCTTTACCTCAAATATTCTTTTCTCTCGAAAATTATAAGAAGATAAGAAGATGAAGTCCGTTCGTGATAGAGATTCCTAAGGAAGACGTGATGGGCCGAAGATAGAGATCTCTTGATCAAGGCGCTGTCGTTTGTTTTTCTTTAGGAGCCACAATCATTTCATGTTTACTTATTATGCATGTGATGTATGATTGAATGTATGCATGTATGTGATTTTCGCTAGTGCATACACGCGGTGTATGCCATAGGCAAGACTGCGTAATAAATTCCTCATAATTTTAAGTCTGTGCCACCCCGACGCCCCGTCACTCGTCAAACCCAATTTAGATCGGTAACGGACTCACCCAAGTGAGACGCCCGGTTTACGTTGGTTAGGCGGGAAACCCGTAATTAGGGTACTGACTCGCCCCGGGTTAGTCTTAACTAAGTCTTGGTCATAAGGATGAGAGACTTAGGGCACTGCGGTAGGATCAATAAATAAAATCAGATCATCCAACCAGAGTTGTAAATTGTTACAATTGGAATTTATTCCTACCAGAAATAATTTAACTGTAGGGAAAGATGCAAAGCACAACTATAGTTAAATGAAATATGGATCTGGCCCAATTAAGAATTTTATTTAAAAGAATCCACCGAACCAAGAGTTGTAATAATGATTGCAATTGGAATGAATTCCTACCTAAATAACTTGACTGTAGGGCAAGATGCAAAGCACAACTATAGTTAAGTAAAATATGGATCTTGGCCCGCTAGGGTATTCTTCAAATAGAAACCCCAAGTCAATAGGTTCCGTACCTGAGGGTAATTGACTTGTTAGAAATAGTGCGAGAGTATTTAATAAAGACCTATTAGATACTTAATTCATGATAATAACTATCTTCAAAAAATTCTGTAGATGGGAAACAACAACACAAACAACCTCACCCTGCGTTCCATTCTGGATAAAGATAAATTGAATGGAACAAACTTTGTTGACTGGCAACGCAATCTGTCCATTGTTCTCCGCATGGATGAGAAAGAGTATGTGCTCCAAAAGCCCATTCCTCCTGCCCCTCCCGCTAACGCCCTGAAAGCAGTTAAAGATGCCTACGAGAAACACGTTAAGGATGATAACTAGGTTAGCTGTGTCATGCTGGCAACCATGATAACCGAGCTGCAAAAACAGCACGAGGACATGAAGGCCCACGAGATGATCGTGGCCTTGCGGCAGCTATACCAGGGGCAATCCAGGCATGAACGTTTTCTTGTGAGTAAGGCTCTCTTTAGTTGCAAGCTCTCTTCAGGGAACCCGGTCGATCTACATGTTCGCAAAATGATTGGTTACATAACCAATCTAGAGAAACTCGGGTTTTCCTTGCAGAAGGAGCTCGCAACGGACCTGATCTGCAGTCGCTCCCTGAGCTGTATAAGGGTTTTGTCATGAACTACATGATGCATGATCTTGAAAAACCCCTTCCGGAGCTTCTTAAAATGCTCCAGACTGCAGAGGAGAACCTTACTAAGGGCAAGGGTGCTTCCGTCCTTATGGTCCAAGGCGGAAAGGGGAAGCCGAAGAAAGGGATTAAGATTAAGGCTAGGACGGCCGGAAAGCCTAAATCGAAGTCCACTTCATCTGCAACCCAAAAACCCGTAAGAGGAGTTGCAAAGGGCAAATGTCATCATTGTGGTAAGGCAGGCCACTAGAGAAGAAACTGCAAGACATACCTCGCAACCAAGAAGAAGGAAGGTACGACCATTTCTTCTGAGGTGTATGTTATAGAAGTTAACATGTCTATATCTTCATCATGGGTACTAGATACTGGATGTGGGTCTCATATCTGTACTACCATGCAGGGACTGAAGAAGAGTAGACGGTTAGCTCGAGGCGAGATTGAACTCCGAGTCGGCAATGGTGCACCTGTTGCAGCTTTGGCAATCGGAACTTATAGTTTAGTCTTGCCTAGTGGTCTAATGTTGGAATTAAACGATTGCTTGTACGTTCCTGCAATTAGCAGAAACATTATTTCTGTTTCATGTCTTGATAAGTGTAACACCCCGGCCCCCACCCTGGCCGTAAGTGTTCGCTCATAGGATTGTAGACTGTCCCCACAAACCAACACAAGTCTTTCCCGGACACTTTGTCCTCACTCGTGCGCGCCCAAGGAAAACTTCCCAGGGGATCACCCATCCTAGAATTGCTCCAGGTCAAGCACGCTTCACCTTGGAGTTTCTAGGTGATGAGCTCTCGAAAAGAAGATGCACCTTGTTGGTATGAGTAGTACTATCAATCCTTTTGAGCTCTTCCCATTCCCATCTTGACACGGGGTATTACATTCACCCCCACTTAGGAATGCAACGTCCTCGTTGCATCCTTTTTTTTGAACCCATAGATCTTCCTCGCTAGGTGAACTAAGCTCTTCTGGCCCGTCACGGTCGCAGGGTTGCTCTGAAACCATTTGTAACACCTCGGCCCCCACCCTGGCCGTAAGTGTTCGCTCATAGGATTGTAGACTGTCCCCACAAACCAACACAAGTCTTTCCCGGACACTTTGTCCTCACTCGTGCGCGCCCAAGGAAAACTTCCCAGGGGGTCACCCATCCTAGAATTGCTCCAGGTCAAGCACGCTTAACCTTGGAGTTTCTAGGTGATGAGCTCTCAAAAAGAAGATGCACCTTGTTGGTATGAGTAGTACTATCAATCCTTTTGAGCTCTTCCCATTCCCATCTTGATACCGGGTATTACAATAAGAGTGGTTTCATCATTTCTATTAAAGACAAGTCCCTTTCCGTTTACAGAAAGAATGTTTTCTATGCTAATGCCAACATGACCAATGGGTTATATGTCCTTGACTTGGACATGCCTGTCTATAACATATCAGCCAAGAGGAACAAACCGAACGGTTTGAACCAAACATACCTATGGCATTGTAGGTTAGGCCATATAAACGAGAAACGCATATCCAAGCTACATCGGTCGGGAATGCTGGAGTCATTTGATCTTGAATCATATGACACATGCGAATCTTGTTTATTGGGTAAGATGACCAAATCTCCTTTCACCGGACATGGTGAAAGAGCTGGTGATCTTCTGGCACTCATTCATAGTGATGTGTGTGGGCCTTTCAATACAACTGCACGAGGTGGTTATTCATACTTCATCACTTTTACTGATGACCTCAGTA